GTCCATTGCATTGGACTGGTGAGGTCAATTATTTGTGCTACCCTGTTAGCAACAAATACCTTGAGTGGTTTAGAAGTGTTAATCCAAGACAGCACGATTGTTGAATCTGACCAAAGTATTATGTTTGAAGAATTTATAATAACGTTCACTTTGGCTAATTCAAGTACAACATTATGAACAAGCTCAGCCATTAGAAGCGCCCCAGAAAGTTCAAGCCTTGGAATTGTAGTTGGCTTCAGTGGAGCAACCCTAGATTTTGATACAATCAGTGACACTGATATGTCACCACTTGGGGCCAAAGATCTTAAATAAACGCAGGCYCCATAAGCGTCTTGCGATGCATCAGCAAATCCATGAAGCTCAATTATTGAAGCGTCGAYATTAAGAACAGTTCTAGGCACTCTAATGTGTTCAAGCTCCTTAAATTGATGATAAAAGTGCTTCCAACGTAACACGAAATCAGTTGATAATGGAGAGTCCCATCCAAGTTTCAGAGTCCATAATTGTTGCAAAAATATCTTGCCTTTTATAAGCACAGGCGTTAATAGCCCAAGGGGGTCAAATATTTTGCTTATGTCCGATAATAAAGTACGCTTGGACATTACTACAGGAGGATCCCAGTCCTTGAATGTGAATCTAAAACAATCAATGCTAGGCTGCCATGTTAGCCCTAAAGTACTTATGGTGTCTTCATCATTGAGTCTCAATAAGTAAGATGGATCTTCTTCAGTATGTGGAATTTGATTGAGTAGTAATGGAGAATTTGAACACCATTTTCTCAATGGCATGCCTGCTGCATTCAATACTCGACATAGTTCAGTATAAATAGAATAGCATTCGTCTATAGAAGAGGCTCCAGTGATTAAGTCATCGACATAAAAATCCTCACTTATTGCACGGCTAACAGACGGAACAGTGGTGTCATTTGCTAGTTGAGAAAGACATTTTGTAGCTAAAAACGATGCGGACTTTGTTCCATACGTTACGGTGAGCAATCTATAATCAATAACAGGGTCTTCGGGAGAATTTCTGTACACAATGCGTTGCAGATTACAATCTGAAGCGGATACCTTGACTTGTCTATACATTTTTTCTATATCTCCAGTAAGGACGTATCTATGCACACGAAAGCGCAACAATATTGAGAAAAGTTCAGGCTGGGTGGCTGGCCCGCGTGACAATATATCATTAAGGGAAACACCGGACTTGCTTTGCGCTGAACCATCGAAAACAACACGCACCTTAGTAGTGAGACTATTTGATTTTATAACTGCATGGTGAGGCAGATAGTAGGATTTAATTTCTATTTCATTCGCTGGTACTRCTTCCATGTGGCCGAGAGCTAGATATTCTGCCATGAACTTGCGATATTCGGTGGCTAAATATGGATCTTTAGCTAAACGTTTTTCCACATTAAAAAGTCTTTGAACAGCCATGCAACGAGAGTCGCCAAGATCATCAATTGGTTGGTGAAGTGGTAATCGCACAACAAWTCTACCATGTTGRTCACGACTAACAGTTTCCAAGAATTGTCTTTCAACTTCAGCCTCCTCTTGCCTGAGTGATTCAGATTTAGTACTTAGCAAAGCTAAAGCTGAATTACAATTGGGATGGTATGTCGATATTTCATTATTTATTTGAATTGACGATAGAAAAGCCCTACCCGCCAATACCCATCCAAGAGCTGTATGATGTAAAATGGCACTATCTGCTAAAGGATACCTTTGTCCACTAAAAATGCTATAGGACACCTCAGCTCCAAGCAATATATCAATYGGTCCGGGAATATTGAAGTCTGGATCTGCCAATTGAGCCTTAATTGATTCAGGAATTTTCAGYGTACCAGCAYCAAAATATTGATGAGGCATTTTGTTGGTTATGTTGGTAAGCACGTGGAATTCTRGTTTAGTGCAGAAATGACTATTGATGCGCGATGACAGCTTGGCATGGATGACAGAAGAAGCAGTTGAATTGGTCATTCCTATGCCAGAGATAGGACATGGTGATGATTCAAACGGTAGTTGCAGTCGCTTAGCGCAGGCTGTAGTTATTAAGCTGATCTCAGCACCAGAGTCAATTACTGCTYTGCATAGTTGAGGTGCACCATTTATGTCACTAATGGCCACAACAGCAGTAGCTAATATGATCACATTGCTAATTGATTTGGAACCAGCATTGATATTGTTTTGTGATGTAAGAACTTTAGCGAGACAAACAATTTTTTCTGACTCTGATGACGATTGATCCAACGGTGCGCTATTAACATGTAGTTTTTCATGATGACGCTTGCCACATTTAGGRCATGACGAATGTCTACATTTGCTTACTCCGTGTCCATAGTATAAACAATTGAAGCATAATCTGTTCCTTTCAACAAGGTCACGGCGCTCATTCACATTCATTGCATCAAACTGCATACAACTGGGCAATCTATGTGGACCTGCGCATAAGTTACAACGTGGAGCCTTATAAGGCTTTTGTGTGTGTTGATCATTATTAGTATCTGCTAACAAAACCTTTTTTGTACGAGCCTTGTAGGTCATGTTGTTTTTGACTGCTTCATCAGAATAGGATACCGTTGCAATGTCACCTGCTTCATAARCCGTTATACGATTGGACAAGAACACTTCTAAATCTTTATACTTGGGTAAATCTTTTGTGTCTTGTTTGAGCTGCCACTCAGCAACAGTTACATTATCTAAACGGGTACACAWGAGGGTCACTAGCCAGGCGTCCCATTGATCTACTGGTTGATTGAGGGCTGTTAGAGCATTAATATTTGAAGAAATGTGGTAATGTAATCGTTGTAGCTCACTAGCCGAAGCCACCGTCACTTTAGGTGTTGTAAGCAGGGACCGTATATGTGACTGAATAATTGMACTTTTATTTTCAWATCTCATTTTCWATACATCATAGGCTACTTGATAATTTTCTTCAGTTGTTTTAAAATTTTGAATTACTTCTCTTGCAGGCCCTTCAACACATGTTTTTAAATAATGAAATTTTTGA